TCTGCCCCCTGGGGACATCTGGCAATATCTGAAGACACTTCTGGTTGTCCCAACTAGGACAACTAGTATTGGAACATAGTGGGTAAGGGCAGGGATGCTGCTAAACATCCTACAGTGCACAGGACAGCCCCTGTAAATGAATCATCCGGCCCCAGTGAGGGACTACGGTAGGAGAAGCGCCAGGCGTTGGATTGTTTTAAAAGTCCCCCCCAACACAACCAGGACTGAGAGCCTTTCCCCTCCCCTGGAAAGCTCCTGCCAGCTTCTCTACCCTCATCTTCTACCCTTTTGCCCTGCCTGTGGTTCTGCCACCACAGTTTTCTTTCACATCCACAAACACTCCCTGCTCATTCCTACCCCTGGGCCTTTGCATCTCCTGGGTGTGCCCTGCCCCCACATCTGCACAGCTGGCTCCTGGCATTCAGGTCCCTGCCCAAGTATCATTTCTTCAGAAAGGCTGCCTGGCTCCCCCTACCTAAAATGACCCCAACACCCAAGTCCCTCTTAAGCACATCTCTCTGTTCTGTTTGCGTCAACGCACAGGGAGGGACCTACGCAAATGATCTAATTACTACTTTAGTACTAGTCTGCTCATGCCCTCCCCCCACCCACCCCGGACTAGAATGACAGCACTCTGAGAACAAGGTCCATGTCTGTCTGGCTCACCATCGTCCCCTAGCATCCAGCAACGTGCCTGGGACTTCATAAGTGTTTACTAAACATCTGTTGAATGAATGAATGAACGGATGGATGGATGAATGGCAAGCACTGGGGAAGATGGGGTTTTCAAGCTGTTGGAGGATGAAGTGTATCGATAGAGACCTGTGCTCTTGTAATGGCCCCACTTTCCTCTCCTGGTCCCAGTTTCCGCCTCTGTAACATGGAAGGGATAGGTTCGGTGGTGTCATTGCTCCCTAACGAAGCCCATTCAGAGACATCCATTTCAGGTCTGCTTTGTCTTTGTCTCCCTGGCACCAGGCTAAGGTAGGCTGGCCCGTATGCCCATCACCAGATAAATAACAAATTACCACCCACTGAGATCCTCATATTTTGTAATTCTGTCCTATTTTCCACAGGAAACTTCCCTGTTTCCATTTCCTTTCATACCAGCTGGACAGATCTGGCATCAATGCTGAGCACATAACAGGTCTCCCTGGCGATATTCTCTAGGGCATGGTTCCCAAATATCGGTTGGATTAGAATGGGCTGGGGAGCTTGGTTAAAAGGTTTCACCTACGAACAGACTTGACTCACTAGGTCGAGGGTGATGTGGGTAGACTGAAAAATGGCCCCCAAGGATAGCCAGGTCCCAATCCCTGGAAACTGTGAACGTTACCGAAGATGGCAAAAGGGACTTTGCAGATGTGATTGAGTTAAGCATCTCGAAATGCGAGATGACCGCGGATTTTCTGGGTGGGTCCTAAAGGCCATCACAAGTATCCTTATAAGAGGGAGTTGCGGCAATGAAGCAAGATGCTAAACTGTTGGCTTTGAAGATGTGGGAAGGGCCACCAGCCAAGGAATGCAGCTCTAGAAGCTGGAAGAGGCAAGGAAAGGGGTTCTCCTCTGGAGCTTCTAGAAAGAACACAGCTCTGACTTGGTTTTAGCCCAGTGAGCCTGCTCCAGACTTCTGACCTGCAGAACTGTAAGAGACTAGATCTGGGACATTTTAAGCCACCAAGTTTGTGCTGATTGTTATGACAGTCTAAGGACCCTAACACAGGTAGACCCAGGAATCCACATGTTACTGACCTTCCTCTCTTTGGTGGCTCGGAAGCAGGAGGTCCGGTTGGACCGCACTGGTCCAGAGCCGTGGCAGGCTGCTTCTCAAACACGCCCGTTCTCAGAGAACCAAAGAATTTCGTTAGAGTTGGAAGGACCCTGCCTCAAATATCCACTTCTACCTGCCCATTTTACAGATGGGAGAACTGAGGCCTAGGAAACTCCACAGCAAGACAGAAGGATGAGAGACGCTTTCATTCAACTCTATCTTTACTGGCTTTCAAATTCCATTTGGAGTTTTTAAAATGAGCAATGGTGCAGGCTGTCGATAGCTTTGCAATAATCCCATAATGACCCAGTTGTGAAACAATTTAGCAATTCTGCTGCTAATTGCATTTGTGGATATAGCAATTGGGTAACTAGTTGGTTATTACTCATTCTCCAAGAGCCATACACACTACTTTACAAGGAAGCTAATCTTAGAAATACTTGTTAACTTCAACAATAATTACTAAGTAATTGGCTAGAACACGCCATTGTGAATTTATCTGGAATATGCCAGGTAATTATCTGGTCTTATGTTCTCTGTAAGATAAATCCAAGGTCCAAAAATTGTTCCAGTTGGTTGATTATCAGCCAACCATCGACCTCTGCCAGCCAATTGTGCGAATGCACGTGATTAATCAAATTACTCAAATATTTGGTTTCAAACTGAACGTTCAGATAAGAGACGTGGATGGCCAACAAGTGGACAGTGCTGAATGGGAGAGAGGGAGGCACAGAGCCCCTCCCTAGGATAAATATATAATGACACAATAGTATGGAATAAATGCCACTTCTTTGGGGCTCATCTGGCTTCTTCACACAAAATACTAAAACACTTCAGAGACCAATTACATGTCCCAAAGCTGCAGAGTCTTTATCACGGTGCCAGGAAAAGGCTGTGCTATTTGTGAAATCTCCAGGCAGTTATAGTGCTTGGGGAGGGGGACGCTGAGTTTCGTACATAATAGAAAAGGGGCCGAAAATGCAGCTGGCTTGCAGGAGGAGTGACACATTTTCATAATGACCACTCGTGTTTCAAGGATGGCTGCTAACTCAATCCGTCCACTTCCAATGAGCCAGCCTTTGGGAAAGGGAGGAGGGGGGCTTGGGGACCTGGGCTCCATGATAATACTGGAAAAGTCAGAGGGCAGGAGGCAGGAGGTCCTTAGAAGGGCCAGGCAAAGGAAAGGAGATCGTGGATTTCAGATTTCTAATTGGGGGATGTGAAAAAGAGATGTTAGCAGGTCAAAAGGTGAGGAGCTGACCAGAGAGAAATCTGGGGTAACAGACTGGTGGGAGAGTGGGTAGAAGGCCAGGGGTGGGGAAAAAACCACCTTCTAACCAGACTTCTGCACCCCAGGGGAAGGGCTATTGCTTGACGGCTGATGAAGATGATACTCACTGGATAAGAAAGGTGTTAATGGTTTTGCGATGGTAGGTTGTAAAAATGGCCACAGACTGTCCCTCTCCCTGCATCCATGCCCTTGCAGTGTCACCCTGCGAATCTGCCCATCCAGAGGTAACGTCTTTCTCCTTGCCTTGAATGGAGGTTGTCCACATGACTTGCTTTGGCCAATGGACTTAGCCAATGAAACAAAACCAGAGGAGTGAAAGGCACTTGTCCATCAGGGCTTGACCTCTTGCTGTACTTGGAGCCCTGAGACCACCATGGGAATGAGTCTGAGCTAGCCTGTTGGGGGGTGAGAGGCCGCGGGGAGGAGAACCAAGGCACCTGAGCTGACAGCCTGCCAACCCGCAGACACGGGACTGAGGGCATCCAAGACTGACCAGCCCTCAATCCGACCTGCCAGGTGACCACAGACATAGCCAAGAGCCCAGCAACTGAGCCTGGCTCAGCACAGAAACACTGTCCCCAGAACAGAGAGAAACCACGAAGTTCTGTCACTCAGCAAAAGCTTATTGAAACACTCACCTAATCAGAGCACCTCAGCCCCTGAGTGTGACGTGGGCTGATTACTGGAGAGCCGCCCCTGCCCTGTGCAGAGTTGAGAACCACCGTGTTCACCCTGGTTTAAGGAGAGTTGAAGGGCCACGCCGAGATCTCCCATCCTTTCCAGGCTCTTCCTGACATGTGGGCTCCAGTCAACTCACCATCGGCATCATCAATGGTGACAGACAATAACACAGCTTCTGCCGATCACCAAGGTCTTCTAAATGGACTCAAGGGGGCTTTGCATCACAGGGAAGACATTAAGACACATCAGTTCTTCCCTGAGCCCCCAGGTCCTGCTACGGTACCTGCCAAGACGCAAGCTTTACACATTTGGGATCTTATTGACGAGTGAAGTTTAGGAAGCAGAGAGCTCCTACTTGACCTCTGGCAGCACAGGCCATACCGAGAACCCCGCGGCTGTGGCCAGTCCCAGCGCAACAGGGCAGTAACTTCCAGAGTTTAAAAACACACAAAGAATTGTTTCACAACTGTTCAGCTGAAAACAAAGCTATTTTTTTTTTCAACGCCTCACATCACTGGGTAAAGTTAGAGAGAGCAAGTCCAACAAAGTTGCAAGCATCTGACATTATCTTAACGTCAGTTCTCTATTAACTGCTCCTTCTGGGCAGCTATGGACCGCAGATCCTAGATATTTAAAACCACAATGGTGAAGCCCACAAATGTGCTCTCCTACTTTAAGGAAAGTTAGTGTAACACTCATCAGGATCTTAGTCCAGGGGTCGGCAAACTAGAGTGCAAGGGCCAAATCCGGCCCTTTGCCTGGTTTTGTAAATAAAGTTTTATTGGAACACAGTCACGTACATCCATTTACATCTTGTCTGGGCCTGCGTCCGCACCACAGCGGCAGAGTTGAGTAGTTGCTAATGCAACTGTATGGCCTGAAAATATTTACTATTGGGCCCTTTGCAAAAAAAGTCTAACGACCCCTGATTTAGCCTAATTCACTCAATTTACATGCGGAGAGGGTGGGTCTCGGAGATGTTGTTTCACCAATACTTGGAGAACAGGGGCATCTAGAACCTACTTGTCTGACTCCCCGTGCATGGTCTCTCCATGGCACTGCCCTGCCAGAGAGTTTTAGCATTAAAAGTATTTTCTGGAATCTCAAATCTTAAAACCCAGATAAGCTGTGAATGGTAGAGCTACAGGTGTTCTATCCACCAGAATGTTGAACTACCCAGAACCCCCGTTTCTCAACCCCGCGGGAAGCAGAGCTTCGGGAATGAATGCACCGGTGCGGAGCCCAGGTGGGACTGACCTGGTGATGATGGCCAGGTGGGGCGGGCTCATGCAGGCGCCCATGAAGAGCACCACGTTCTCGTGCCGCGTCTGCCTGTAGGCCATCACCTCCCGCTTGAAGGCCTTTAGCTGTTCCTCGTTATCCCTCTCGATGTCGATCAGCCGGATGGCCACCTCGCCGTGCCAGCGGCCGTGGTACACCTGCCCGAAGCGGCCTTTCCCGATGAGCTCGCCGATCTCCAGCTGCTCAAAAGGGATGTCCCACTCCTGAAGGAAGATGCTCGTCTGGCTGGCCTTGCGCGGGAAGCTCCGGGCCGAGAGGAGGGACAGGTTCATCTCCTCGAAGTCATCCTCCGACTCCTCGGCCTCGTCGTGGCCCTCTTCATTCTGTGGCCGGAGGGGGAGAGAGGTCAGAGCTGTTGCCCCCGCCCCACCGTCCCACGAAGTCGTGCTGGGTCCCTTTGTGCATGTGCAGGTCTGGACACATGTCTATGTGCGTTTTGGGCTGGTGCCCACATCTCTCTCTATTTTCCCAGGTAGCTTGGGTCTAGAATTGTTTACAGTGAAGGAGCTGAAAGGGAGATGGTGGTAATCTGACTCTCTTGTGCTAAGGGGGAAACTGAGGCTCAGAGAGGAGAAATGCAAGGGGGACCACCCATTCCAGTTTCCTGGGACTTCCCTGGTTTTGGCACCAGAAGTCCCACACCTTGGAAACCCCTCAGTCCCGGCAAACAGAGAGGGTTGGTCACCCTGGGAAGCTCCAGGTCACAAAGCCAGGCTAAAATACAGGTACATCATGTGTCTGCAGGTAACAGGTGACAACCGTCAATTTGGTGTGTCTCTGCTTCCCCCAGGGAATTTGGAATTGATGAGTCAGAAACTGGGAGAGGTCAGAACGACTCTGCACAGGCCAGAGGCCCGGGTTCCTGTGCAGCCGGGAGGGCAGAGACAGGAGAGTGAGAGGCTGACAGAATGGGTTTACGGGCAGACCAAATGAGCTGGAATCTGGCCTCTGTGTGACCTTGGGCAGGTCACTTGCCATCTCTGAGCCTTCCTCTCCTCATCACAGAGTGGGGCTCATCAAATCTGCTCCTGGGGGTGGTGTGAGGTTTTCAGTGAGATGAAGGCCTGTTAAGTTCTTTGCACAGATCTGACCACAGGTATGAAACATGCACTGGGATGCCCGAGAAAATGCGGTAGAAACTTCAGTAGATCCGGGGCCCCACCCAGATGGACTGAATCAGAACACCAGCAGGCCAGGGCCAGGAGCCTGCATTTTTGTCCTGCATGCCCATATGACTCCGGTACACTTAGGCGTGACCATCCCAATAGCTAAACACTCAAGGTCTACGGACCCACATTCCCACTATGGTGTCTGGGGTGCCTGGGGTGCCCTGTCCCTTGGCTCTTTTGCTGGAGTGTGGGAACAGCAGGTGCCTGAGCCCATGGGGATCCCCAAGGGCTTGAGGCCTGATGAGACAGCCTGAGGAGGTGGCCCCTTGGCTGGGTGCAGGTGCTCCTGGCCCCAAACCTGAGCAGGCTGTCTCCACTGGCACACTCAGGAGAAGGGACACAGGAAACATCTGCTTCTCTCAGGCTCAGTTTTCAACTGCCACAACAGTTCCAGAAAAGGACATAATTTTCTCTGGAAACTCTGACTCTATTCCTTTCAGTTGGGGACATACCGGCAGAGCCCAGGGGTTGAGACTCCATGGTTCTCCCCCAGGACGCATCGTTTTCTCCTCCAGTGGCTCTGGCAGTTGGGAAGAGCCCCAGAACATTCTCGATACCCCGCCAAGCCCAGGGTCCCTGAGGCCCGCCCCGCCTCCCACGTATTCTTGTGAAGGCAGTGGGGCACATCCCCTTGGTATTCACCCAGCCTTGAGCTGGTTTTTCAACTCAGAATGCAAATCACTTGCCAACTTCCACACAACGTGCTTTTCCGTGATGCACACCAGAACGGCCCATTAGGCTCAGTGCCCGGAGGGGCCACCGCTTGCTCGTCGTCCTGGAGTTAGAACATCCATCAAGCAGAGCCACCTGCCCCCCACCATGGGCCCCCAGCCTCCGGACACCCTGGCTCCTGACCTCAGTGGGCTGTGCCAAGCTCTGGGCAGCCCCCGGAAAAAGCTGCTTCATTGCTCTCTAGTTCTCACCTCCGAGGTTGGCTCCACTTCAATTTGAAGTAATGGATTTCCTTCCAAGCTTTAAAGAAAGAAAAATAAATGTGACCCTCAGGTGAAAAGGTAGGTCCATGTATCAAGTTTACCCATGTATGAAAAGTTCCAAAATGAGAAATCCTAACCATCAAGCCCTTCTCTTGAATTTCCCTTCAATGCTTGCATCTGAAATAATCCATAGCCTTGCCAGAAAGAAGCAGTGTGCAAGGACGTTGTTTTAAATAGATTTTTCTGGGCTGCTCAGGGCTCATTTTTCTTTATTGCTTTGGTTTCCACTAATCTAGCAGCTTCCTTGTAAATTGGCCTAAATGCCACAAGTGGAAGAATCCTCAGAGCTCTAGGTCCTCACCAGGAAAGAATTAATCAGATCTCTAAAGTACGCTGAGATTCGGAAACTTCTAGAAGGATCTTAGCATCCATTTGTTTGCTCATTCATTCCTTCAAGTAGAATTATGTGCCAGGAACAGCGCCAGGCCCTTAGAGGGATGGAGAGTTGAAACTGGCCTGGCTCCTGACTTTGAGGAATATTACATTACTACTGAAGGGACTAAAGCAAGTGCATAGATGTTGTGCAGAAAGGCTAAAAGTGACAAGGGCCGAAAGTTAGGTACGGACTGAATAAATGGAAATTCTCAAGGGAGAGGATTGCTGGATGTATTTGAAAGTTCAGTGTTTGAGATGGACCCATTGCGCCCATCTTGTTGGATCGGGGTGTGTGGAAGGAGAGTGAGGAGGAGGACACAAGGCTGGAAGACACGTGTGTGCGTGCGTGTGTGTGTGGGATGCATGCAGAAGCTCGTGAGCTGCAGGTGCGTTCTAGATATATGAACATACTGGGAGTGGGCGCTGGGGGGCACAATGTGTTTGTGTGAGTACTAAGTATATATAGAGTACTGGGTGGGTATTATGGGATATGCTCTGTGCTCTGTTCTGTGTGCACGTGAGTTGCATGTACACACGAGGCAGGCTGTATGTTGATGGTATAACTGAGTATGTATTAGGGTGTGAGGGGAGTGTCTGAGCGCATGGTATGTGATGGGGATTTGGGGCACAGTGTGTGTTTGCAGTGTTTTGGGGTGTGTTTTTAGAGTAGAGGATGTGTATGTGTTTATAGTAGCTGGGCTGCCGAAGGCACAGAAGAGCTGGAACTGGGAGCAGGAAGGAATCACACGGATACCATGTGCCCTTCCTACGTCCCCAGTGGAAGCTTAGCAGATTCCCTCTACCTGCCCCCTCATTTTGGGGGCCTCCCCTATCCTCACCCTCAGACCCCAGGAAGCTGTTGACCCTGCAGACAGAGTCAATCCACTTGATGGAGGGGCTCCTGGTGAGAGAGAGTCTGAAAGACTGTGAGAACCGAAAGAAGGGTCCTCACAAAGTGGCATCTGTATGATGTATGAACATTCAGCCATTGTATGAACCAATTATTTATAGCACAGCCTGGGAAGGCGGGATGGAACGGCACTGTGACAACTGATATGCTGGGAGCTTGCCGCCCTGGGGGAGATTTGGGGGGAACAACGCAGCTGGAGCCCCTCCTCACACCCAAGAAAACAGGCAGCCCTCCTCTGCTGGCATGAGGCGTGGTTACTGCAGCCGGGCCATTCCATGACTTCTCTTCTGCACTTAAGTTAGTTCCCATCACTCCAGGCACATTTAAGCAGATCGTGGGCAGTTATTGACTCTGCTTGTCCCTGGCACCCCCTGGCTGTCCGTTAATAACCTGGAGTTCGTCTTGCACAAATTGTGGAATTAGTTTACGTGCAGCAGAGAAATGATCCGGAGCTAGATGTGAGCACAATATCCCCCGGCAAATTGCTGCTCCTTTGATTTCGGAGATACATCATTTGGGTCTTTAACAAAGTCCATAACACCACCAGAAAGGACGGAGCAGCGAGGGGAGCCAGAAGAAAAACCAAGGAGGCGAAAATGTGAGTTGGGAAACCAGCCAAATTGCAATTAGGTCCCTAGGGTGTCCCAGACTTTGGTCACAACCAAGGAAAAGTTAAGGAAGGTGATTTCACTTCTGCCGCACAAGCAATAGACCACCTGGAAAGAGGTCTGTATCTTAAAGATGCTAAAGACGCCACACAAAGATGTTCGCTGCAGCACTGCTTATAACCGTGAAATATGGGAAGTTGTAAGATCCAGCAAGAGGAAATGATCAAGGAAATTATTCTACGTCAATATGGTATTTTACAGCCATTAAAAACAATGCGTAGGAAGAGTCTGGAGTAATATGAAAAATGCGATGTAACAGCATTAAGGGATAAAAAAGGACGGAAATTGCAGGTATCATGCATCACAAGTATGTAAAACATGAATAGAAAGAACACACATCAAATTTCTAAGAGCAGTAGGATTATAAGCGATTATTTTTCCTGTCTTTTTTTTTTTACAGAATTAGTCCAAATTTTCCAAAACTATCTTATATTATTTTTATAACAGTATAAACCAGAGGCCAGCAAAATTGTTCTGCAAACGGCCAGAGAGTAAATATTTTAGACTTTGCAGGCCATACGGTCTGTTGCAACTACTCAGCTCTCCTGCTGTAGTTCAAAAGCCGCCGTAGACAGTGCATTGTAAACAAATGGGCATGGCTGTGTTCCAATAAAACTTTATTTATAAAAACATGCGGCAAGTTGGATTTGTCCCATAGGCTGTAATTTGTTGATCCCTGGTACAAACCTAAATTACACTTTTTAAACCGGGGACCATGACGCAGAAGAATTGCCCTTTCATTGAGCCCTAGCTGTTGCCTGGGGTAGGTTGTCTTTCTCATCATAGGAGAATCTGGCGGTCCTAAGGAAATGGTCTGGTCTCTGGAAATCACACTTGACAGGCAGGGTCAGGGACACAAGGCAGAGCTGACTCATGCGGGCCAGCATTGTCTCTCTCGCCTGGGCTGTCACGCTCCCTCTCTCTGCCTGAGCCCTTCCCTATGTCTCTCTGTCCCCCTGTACTTCTCCCCCTGCCTCCCACCCTATCAGTTCCAGGAAGAGGACGAAAGAAGACAGGGATCCTGAGGAGACCGGAGCCCAGGGCAGGGGAAAGAGATCTCTGTCTCACTTACATTGGATTCGAGGTCACCGGATGCAGGATGACCTGGGGTGCCCGGGTCGGCGTCTCTGGCACCGGCACCACATCTGAGAGCCAGAGATTAGACAGTCAGAAACCCACTGTGGAGTCCACAACCACCCCCAAAAGTCTGCTTCCTGGGAGACGCTGGCAGCCAGTAACTTCTCCCCAGATCATGGGCCCCTGGGGCTGGCCAATCCTTTCTCTCCCTTCCTAGACCATTTACTTAGATGCACCAGTGTTCTAGAGGACATCCTGAACAAAATTCCCCATTGTTGCCTAGGGGGCTGCTAGAACCCCTGAGCCTCTGGCCTGAGGCATCCACTGGCCATCTCTGAATCTTCCTCACTCCTGACTTCCCTTTGGATGCTGAAGCCACTTGGTTTCACGTCTCCCAGTGCTCAACTCAAGCCCTCTGACCAGCTCTCCCTTGCCACATGGCCCTGGACTCCTCCCCACCTTGCCCATCTGTCCATAGTAGGTAACCCTCTCAGGTCTTTCTCCTGTGCCTTGGGGCCTCGTTAGTGCCACTGTGCCCCTGGGACTCCCACCCCTTCCTTCTCCACTCCCATGTCCAGCCAGTATCCTGGGGTCTGGTGATTCCTTCCCCCTCTCTCTTTGAGCTTGCCCCCCAACAACAGGCGCCTCCATCCATTCCAGCAACTCCCGCTCCTCAGCGGGCGTGCTCAGAAGGGGCTGGGCTCACACGAGACTCACCTGGGAAGACGAATTGCTGCTTGTATTTGTAGTAGTGGGATGCTGAGGAAGGAAGCAAGCACCAGAGTGAGCGCCACCCCAGAGCCGTCCCTTCGGGTACCAAATTGGCCTCCCACAGCCACCAGGCGCCCAGCCTCAAGGGTTTCCAGACTTCTGCAGACACCCTGAATTCCAAAGGACTGAGACCATGTGTAAAGAAACCAGAGCTCTAAAATCCAAGCCAACCCTCCCATTCGATGCTCCCTGAAAACAGGGCACCCCAGCTCGGAGAGTCATCCTGAGCACAATCGCAGTCTTGTTAAATGCATGAGAGCACACACACAGAAAAAGTCTGCAAAGTCATCATCTAAAATATTATTTTTTCGCCTGTAGGCAGAGTGATTACAGTGGCTTTAAAAAAAAAAAACCCTTTATGAGTTTCCTGTGTTTTCCAAATTCTCTACATTGAGCATTGCATTAGTTTTCTTGTTGCTGTTCTAACAAATGACCACCAACTTGGTGACTGAAAACAACCCAAATTTATTCTCTTATAGTCTGGAGGTCAGCAGTTGAAATGAGTCCTAAGGGGCTAAAATCGAGGTGTCGGCAGGGCTGGTTCTTTCTGGAGCCTGCCTGCATTTCTTGGCCCCTAGCCCCACCACGTCACCCTCTGCTTCCATCCTGAAATCGCCTTCTCCTGTCTTCGACCTTCCTGCCTCCCTCTTATAAGGATCCTGGTGATTACCCTGGAGTCTCTGGGCGGACTCTGAATGTAATCTTTCCGCCTCAAGATCCTTCCCTTAGTAACAGTTGCAAAGTTCCTTTTTACCATATAAAGTAACATTCATAGATCCCGGGATTAGAATCTGGTCATCTTTGGGGGACCATTATTCTGCCTCCACAAGCATGAATTAATTTCTAAATTTAGGGAAAAAATGATACAAAAGTAATTTCCTCAACTTCACTGCTGGTGTCCCTATTTCATTTTACTTCCAGTCCTCTTACCAGGGGCCAGTTGTTCCAAACATCTTCAAGATTTCTAATGTTACCACTTACGCCAGTGAGATGGAAGGCCTGGAGTAGGAGGGTAGCAGGGGTGTCAGGGGAGGGGACAGGTCACATGGAGCTTTCCAGCCCCAAGGAAAGGAAGTGAGCAGGGATGGAGTCAGATATGAGTGTGCGCTGGTGAATATATTTCCAGAAACTATCTTATTATATTCAAGGACAAGCTACAACTGGGAGTTGGCTCGGCAAGAATTAGCACGGTGGGTTCTGAGCTGGGGTCTAGAAGCTGATCCTGTAGAGACGAATTCTACCTCTTCTTTTGGCTGCTTGTAAAAGCTTGAGTAACTCCCTCCAAGGCTCAGTTTCCACATGTGTAAAATGGGGATAAGAATAGTCGCTCCCGCATAGGACTGAGCTCATCATTGCATGAGATAAAAGCGTATGGTAGGCACAGAATAAGTATTAGGTGCAACAAACCAGCCACTATCTTTCTAAGCTCTCTCAACTAACAGACAAGAATGATTTATAATTAGGAGACAATTGGGTAGGTTCAACAGTGAAGTCATTAGCTGTCCCTGAGGATGCAATTGATTTATAAACTCTCCCAGGATACAGAGCGAGTCCTGGTATCTCGGGACCCGGAGGACCTGGGCTGGTACCTTGCACCAGCAGCTACGCAACTCATGTTTGTTCAATTAATCAACTGTCTTTTAGTGCTACAATCCCCAAGTACCCTAGATAGTTGGAATCCAAAGGGATGCATTTTTGATGCTAGAACATGAGGTGCCCAGGATGGGAAGCCACTCATTGAAGGTCACGGAGCAAAGCTTTAAAAGAAAAGCAACCCCCTGATTTCAAGGACCTTTCTTCTGTTACGCAACCTGGGTTTTTTCATTGCGTGCAGACATCTTGTTAGTCAACAAGGGGCTAAAATTAAAAAAGAAAAACTACCCAAGCTTCTCAAGAGGCTTAGCTGATCTCTTCGCCCCAACTGGGACGGGGGATTCAGTGTCTGCAGAAAAGGTTAGCTGGCAGTTAGGTTCTTTTAAAGAGGAGGGGCTGGGCAATGGACAGCAAGCATGCTCTGAGAAGGGACAGGTGTCAGGCAATGGGACACCCAACAAGCGCCTCCACGCACAGAGTCAACCCCCTCCTCGACCCCTCTGCATGCCGGGGGACAGCTGGTTCCTGATGACTGAAGGGAGAGGGAGGCCAGAAGAGGCGGAAGGCATGAGTGAGCCCTGTTCTTCTTGCTGACAAAGGACCCCAGCAAGAAGGGGCAGCCGACGAACCCGAGCGGCCTGCTCCGGAGAGCCAAGTGGTCCTGTTTTATGGCATGGAAGAGGACCCGGGATCTGGGAGGCTTCAGGTGACCGGAGGTCAGAGAGACCAGCGGGCCACTTTGAAAGCACTTCGCCCCGGAGCCCCCACTCCTTCCCTAAGGTTCCTAAGAGCAGCCTGAGTGGTCTCCTAGAAGGAAGGAACAGGATCAAGTCATCCTCTGCCTAAGCCTTTCCACTGCATCCCATGTGTCTTACATAAAGTCAAAATTCCTGCTGTTCCCTACGAGGCCCGCCAGGCCTCACCCCTGCAGCTCTGAGTCTCACTTGGGGCCACGTTCCCTCATTTATGAGACTCGGGCCCCTGGGACATTTTTCCAGCTCTTTCCTGTGGCAGGGCCTTTGCACGTGCTCCCCTCTCTGCCTGGACAGCTCTCCTCCATCTCTGGAACTCAGCTGCCTCTGACCCTTCAGCCTAAACTTGTTCTCCTCTTGAACTGGCACACAGCATCTTCTCTCCCTTCCTAGCACTTATCACAATTTAGAATTCTATTTTCATGAGTATGTTTGCTTGGTTAACACTTGTCTCTCCCAATAAGCCATAAACTGCATGAGAAAACAGACTGTGGCAGGCAGAAGAATGCCCCCACCCCAAGGTGTCCACGTCCTAATTTCTGGACACTGTGAATACATTACCTGGCATGGCAAAGGGGACCCTGCAGGGGTGACTGAGTTAAGGATCTTGAGATGGGGAGATTATCCTGGATTCTCTGGGTGGGCCCTAAATATAATCACAAGGGTCCTTATAAGAGGGTGGCAAGAGGGTCAGGGTCAGAGAGAGTCAGAGAAGGAGATGCGATAATGGAAGCAGAGGTTGGAGCGACGCAGGGCCACAAGCCAAGGAGTGTGGGCAGCCACTAGAAGCTGGGAAAAGGCAAGGAAATGGATTTTTCTCTAGAACCTCCAGGAAAATCAGCCCTGATGCCATCTTGACTTTTAGCCCTGGGAAATGGATTTTGGACTTGTGACTTCCATAAGTATACGATAATAAATTTGTGCTGCTTTAAGCCACTAAGCATGTGGCTTACAAGCGGCAGCAGCAACAGCAAAATCACACAGGAGTACGTCTGGTTGTGCAGCGCTCCATACCTAGAGCCTCACAGCGTACCTGGCTCAATAAATATCTGTTCAGGAAATGAATGGAAGAAAGCAGCCAGAGGGCCAGAAGACAGTTCAAAAGAGAAAAAACTGCAGCCCTGGGCAATGCATGAATTTCAAGTCATTCGTTCCCTCATTCATTCAGTCAACAAACATTTAATTAGTGCCTTCAGCAGGAGGCAATGCGTTGGGTTGTGGGTGTAGGGTGGTGAATGAAGCAGACATTCTGATGGAGGAGATGGATGCTAAACAAGTGAATAAAGGAACAAGACCATGGCAATGAATGAGGAGCTCTGTAGAGCATAAACTGGGGCAGAGTGATGGCAGGTGGGAGGTTCTGAAAGGGAGCAAACACTCCCATGAGCCCAATGGCCCAGCCCAAGTGAGAGCTCAGAATCCCACAATCACCACCAAAGGCAGAGCCTGCCTCCTTTTTCCTCCCTTTGAGCCATTAGAATTTGCCATTTCCTGCAGTGTGTGTATGTGTGTGCGTGTGTGCACATGTGAGTGCACGCGTGAGTATGTGTGTTTCAAGATGGCACTAGGTGGCTCCAAAGAAAGAAGGTATTTGAACACTCCAGTCTCAGAAACCTACCCGACAATCCCTTAAAATGCCCCGTCATGGATCTCGCCACAGCAAATGTCCCATAAACCTGCATTGTTCGCCCCATTTTACAGGTGAGAAACTGAGACCTAAACAGAGTCAGTGCTGAACGCAAGGCCACAGAGGTAGAAAGGGGCAAAGCTGGGATCCAAACCCAGTTCAGCTGGTCCAGGCAGCACCCTTGACTCCATCCTGCACTCGCCATGTGCGACACGCACCAGGATTCAGAAGGGAATGGAGGAGAACAAGGAGGTGAACCCGACTGGAAGAGCACAGTCACAAACACGCTGAGCCTGGGACGGCTACACTTGGTTTGCTAACTAAAAACTCTCCCTTCACATGTCCTGAGGTTAACAAGCGAGCCAGATGCCTGTTAACTCCACAGCCCCTTTTGCACAAGAATGTTCTAGTTCAATCAATGCCAGAGACATTGTTATGCCTAGGCTTAGCTTGAATAGTCTTCAGAAAACTCAACATCTGGCAGGGAACCATAGCCAGAGGCTCCATTCCCCATCAACAGAAGCTCGCAGTCAAGAGCGTGACAGGTGACTAGGGCCTTGCGTGAACAGGACAGGTACTTGTCACCCTGGGGGAATTTTGCTAATACTGCCTAAGACAGAGGGGAGAGCTGGCTGCCCTTCTGGAAGGCCCTATTTTTTTTTTTTTTTCCATTTCAACATTGCATTTTATTATTATTATTCAATTATAAAACGGGTGCATGCTCCTCGTTATTATACACATTCTAGAAGTGCATAAAATAAAATTCCTCTTCTTAGAAACAGCAACCATGAAGTTCTTGCAGACTTTTTTGTGCATATACAAATATATATACACACACATATAAACATACATATACAAATATATATAATTATTTTACAACAAATAGGATGTTATACCAATTGCTTTGCAAATCACTTATTTTCCACTTAAAAGATATTATAGATACCTTTCCATGTCGGAATATTTAGAGAGAGCTGCTCCATTCTTTTTAAGGGCGGCTGAGGATTTGGTTACACAGATATATTACAGTGTATTGAACCATTGCCCTCGTGATGGCCATCGAGGTTGAGCCCAAATTCTTCACTGTTGCCATGAAATCCTCACACACAGGTCCCTGGTGCAAGCACTTCGATATATAAATTCTTAGAAGTGATGTTGCTGGTCCAAGGAGTGTACATTTTAAACTTTAGCAGACAATGCCAAATTACCTTCCCCAAAGGTTCAATGCAATTCACAGGCCAACACCAGCACACGCGGGGATTTCATTTTTATTTCCACAATCCTAGTCAAGCCCGTATTAATTAGCAGTGATGATGAGAAAGGCCAAAATGGGAGCCAAGGTAAATTGCTATTCTTGGATTTATGTAATAATAATGAAAACAGCTTGCATTTCTGCAGATCTGCAATGAGAAAGGCACGCTGCTAAGCTCTGGACATGTATGATGATGTTTGGTCCTTCAATGATTCTACAAAGTAGGTACTATTACAATACCCATTTTACGGAGGAGGGAGCGGAGGCAGAGAGGTAAGTTATTAGCTCAACATCAGGCAGGTATTAGGTAGTGGAGCAGGGACTGGAACCCAAGCACCTGGCTCCAGAGCTCACACTCTTCTTGCTGTTCTAAAGCGCCGTCCCCCAAAGGACCCCTTAGCCCTCTCCCAAAAAGAGGGCCAGGACGGTGTCATGACATACCATGGAGTAGGCTCAGATCCGCTGGCAGACTAGCCCAGCGAGATGGTGAGGACCACTCCTGGGGACTCTGACTGAAGGAACAAAGGAGCCTAAGGGACACACTGACCTCCCCAGGTGAGTCGGGGCTCTTGTCTAAAGATGCCCGCAGAGTCTTTTAGGGACGCAGAGCTGTGGTGCTTTGTCGCATGGTTCCCTCTTAAGCGGGTTTCTTCCCAGCCCCTAACCCACAAACAAACAACAAACACTCTCTGGGAAACGGAAGCCCTGACGTGAGAGTCTCAGAGGGGCAGGGCAGTGTTAGGAAAGCGCCCAGGCCCACTTCCCCCAACTTTGGAAGGTCATGGGGCACCAAGGGTCCTTTTTCCATTCACCCCCTTCCAGAGAAGAGGAAACGGACCACGCTGGAGGTGGCCGTGGAGCCCTCAGTCTGCGGAATGCCAGGCAACCTGCCTAATTGACTCTTACTGAGATGATTCTAGCTAGTGACTCACATTATGGTCCTTGGTGGCTGCCAGGTGAGTGGCCCTCACACCAGGCTGATACAAGGCTGCCTCAGTCTTGAACTTAACAAAAAATCCCGATGATGTAGACTTTAAGATGCGCCCTATCACTACGGACACAGCCCAGATCAAAACCTGTGGGCAGGTGACATGATCAGCTTGTCCTTAAACGGCTGGTTGGATCTAGATGTTGCCCTGGTGTAGGACTGGACCTCTATTCATCTCCCAGACAGTCACTCATGGCTGATTAGGCTCAGGGGTATGACCTGTGCCCGAGGACCTGGGATTTTGTCCCCCTGCACGAAGTTGGCTAGCTCAGGAGAAATTCGGCCCCCAGACCAGCACTGTTGAGTGGAACTTGCTGCACGGTGGGAAATGTTCCATACTCGTGCTGTCCAATATGGCAGCCACTAGCCACGTTTCAAGTTCTCAATAGCCACGTGTGGCTAGTGGGTACCATATTGGACACCACAGATCTAGACTGTGGTTCCAACAGGCCAAGCCAGGCCTCATTCCACCAGCTCCTTCTTGTGGTGCTGCCAACATGGCTAAGCAGGAAACATGCTTGCAGCCCTGGAACAGGAAGTGGGCTGGGCCAGATCCCAGAAGGAGTGGGAAGACTCTGAGGTCTGGCCCACCGGAGAACAGAGGAAAGATCTCTTAAGTCTAATAACAAAGGAGGCCAAGAAGCCAAAAAGCTTTGTGAGTGACTTCTCCACCCTCTCACAGCCCAGCACAGACTCTCAGGTCAGCAGCTGAGTGCCCTAGACTTGGTGAGCTTGAAGAACCTTCTGGGGTCCTCTCATCCGCCTATATCCTTTCAGAGGTGAGAAAATTGAAGTCAGAGGTCACCCGGCAGAACATGCCAGAGCTGGATATTGAATCCAGGACTCGAGCCTGCCCATTCGGAGCCCTATCCTGATGTCTGGAGGGAGGCTCAGAATGCAGCCCTGCTCAGGCGTGTGGTCCCCGAGATCCTCGGCACAGGATTCTGCTGCCAATTTCAACCAATTTAGCCCATGAGACAACTGCCAGCTCCAGAGCAGATGGCTCCTCCCGGGACCTAGACTGAGGTGGGGACACCGGGTGCTGCTTACCCAAAGGCAGTGTCTCTAAGAGTCCCTTTCTCTCTCTGAGCCTCAGTTTCCTCATCTGTAAAATGGAGCTAACACTTACCTCGTGGCTGAAGATCAAATAAGGTAGCCATGGCAACTGCCCTGCACGTGGTATGACTCCATCACATGCCTCCGACCCACTGCCTTTAGGCACACACTGGCCCGGACAGGGCTCTGCCACAAAGCCACCGACCCCCTCCCTAACATCCACCCCTCCAACGCCGTACCCACTGCGTCTCCCCAAGCACGGAGGTACCTGGCAGGCTGAAGTTCTTCTGCTGCCTTGTGCACTGTGGGGACGGGTGTAAGGGCGAAGGCGGCGTGGCGCTGGGTGGGAGAGGGGGTGCTGGTGAGGAGGGCGTGGAGGATGTCGTGGACGAGGGGTTGCTGCTAGAATCTGGCTGGTAAGGGACAGGGATGTGGTCCTGCAGAAAGGAAACAGGGCAGGGTGAGGGGACAGGCGGGAAGCAGAGACACAGCAGTGAGAGTGAGCTGAGCAGGAAGAGAGCCCCCCACCCCAGCATGCTCAGCTCCTCTTGCCCTTTCCTCCACCACCAGATCCGTCCAAAGTGCCACCTGCTTTGTCATCCCCCGTGGGTTGCATCCAGCTATGGAAGGAACAGTTTCTGGAGTCAAATTCCCGTCCACTGTCTGGACCCCAGAGTGAAAGGTCACCACGTAATGAAAGCCACATAGGTGTCAGCCATGCTCTCTGCGCCTCTTTGATTGGGAAAGTCCCACGCCGAGGTGCCCAGAGTGCTCTTTCCATCCTAACACCTCTCCTCCTGGGTGTTTATTAAAGAATCAACAGCCTGACAGCTCGAGAGAGAGCATGAGAGCGGGCCCCCAGCATCTTCCCTCGCATCTCTGTTGGAACCAGCCCTGCCTCTCTTTGCCCCTGGACCTGCTCTAAAGCAAAGATGAAGACAGAATCCATGTGCGCACCCTCAGAATGGCCCTGAGGGGGACAAGGTCGGGGCAGTGAAGTGGTTGAATACTGTCTCCCAAAAGACATGTCCACCGGAACCTCAGAATGTGACCTTATTAGGAAAAACATCTTTGTGGATGTACTTAAGGTAAGGATCTGGAGATGAGATCATCCTGGATCAGGGTCGGCCCTAAAGCCAGTGTCAAGTGACCTGATAAGAAACAGAAAAGGAGAGACACACACAGAGGGGAAGCTTGTGTGAGGATGGAGGAACAGAATGGTCTGATGTGTCCACAAGCCAAGGATTGCTGGAGCACCAGAGGTAAGGAGAGAGGCATGGAATGGATGCTCCCTCGGAGCCTCCAGAAGGGACCAACCCAGCCGACGCCTTGATTTCAGATTTCCAGCTTCCAGAATGGTGAGAAAAGAAATGCCTGTTGTTTTAGCTACTCAGTTTGTGGTACTTTGTTACAGAAGCCCCAGGAAACTACTACAAGCAGAATCCCGAGTCAGGCAAACTCGGATTCAAATCCCACAGCCGCCTCTTCCCCACGCATCCTGGACAAAACTCTTAACCTCTCCACTCCTCAACGTTGCCCATGGTAAAACGGGAATAATACTAGGAAATCTCAACATCGTAGAAAAGGGATTCCTGCCTCTCAAAGCCAGCAGAGCTAAGAGTTCTCAGGGACATCTTAATCTGTTCACTCACAGGACAGTGGTCACTTGGTCCCTATGTCACTCAGAGGTCCATCACTTGGATTGGCTCCAGGTGCCTGAGGATGGCCTTGTGTGGCCTGGTTATTTGTCAACAAGTGTGGTTACCTGCCAAATCCTAGATTCGGCATAGCAAGCACCAACGAGCATAGGAGGGCAAGCTGGGAGGAGAAATGGACGCCTCCCTCTGGATGCCCAATGGGTGCTCGGCCCGTGCGGTGCATGTCACCCTTCCTGAGTCCACTCCACTTCCACTCGGTCATCCTGCCTCCGTGTCTCTGTGAATTTCAGTCTCTCCTTACCCTTCACATGGGCCCACCTTGTGGGTCTGTTATGAAGTTTAAATAAGCTTATGTGTATATCTACCTGCCTAGCATCAGGCTGAGGCACTTTGTCATCAACAAATGATAGCTATCATGTTGATGACAGTATTTATTTTACAATTAAACCTTTCATTTGAGATAACTGCAGATCATGTGCAGTTGTAAGAAATAATAGAGACCCTGTCTCTCCTCACCACCCCTCCCTCTCAGCTTTAACCCCTGGCACCACTAACCTATTCTCCATTGCCACGATTTTGTCATTTCACGAATGTTATTTAAATGGAATCATACAGTATATAACCTTCTCAGATTTTTTTTTTTTTTACTTAGAATAATTCTCTGCAGAGTCATCCAAATTGTTGCATGCATCAATACTTTTTTCCTTTTTATTGCTGCATAGCCTTCCATGATATGGACGTACCACAGTTTGTTTAACCATTCACCCCTGAAGGACAGCTAGGTGGTTTCCCCTCTGTGGCCACTGTGGACAAAGCTGCTATAAACAATCATGCATAGGTTTTGTGTGGACATACATTTTTATTTCTCTAGAATGAATGCCAAGGAGTGCAATTTCTGGATAATACGATAATGGCATGTTTAGTTTTTAAAGAAAAAGCCAAAACTGCTCTTTAGAGTGACTGTACCATTTTACACCAGCGATGTATGAGGGATGGATTTTCTCCGCATCCTCACCAGTGTTTGGTGTTGAAACTATTTTTTATTTTAGCCATTCTGATAGGAGTGTAGTGATTCTCACTGTAGTTTTAATTTGCATTTTCCTAATGGCTCAGGATACTGAGCATCTTTTCCTGTACTTCCTCGCCATCTGTATATCCTCTTCAGTCTTGATTACTATAACTATATAAAGTCTTGAAATCGGGTAGACTGGTTACTCCTACTTTATTCTTTTTTAAAATTGTTTTTTAGCTATTTTAACTCCTTTGCCTTTTCATATAACTTTTAGAATAATCTTGTCTTTATCTACAAAAAAAAATCTTGCTGGGATTTCAATAGGAACTGTGTTAAACCTGTATATCAATTTTGAGGAGAACTGCTAATCTTAACTATGAGTCTTCCGATCCATGAATATGGTATGTGTATTAGTTTCCTAATCAGAAAAATAGAAACAGAAGCTTATGTCTTTTGCCCACTTTGGGAAGTTTCTGACCATTATTTCTCTGAGAACTTTTTCAGCCCTGCCCTCTTTCTCCTCTCCTTCTAGGACTCTGATGACACCAATGCTACCTCTGTTATTATAGTCTCAAGGGTCCCTGAGGCTTTATTCATTTTTTTCAGTCCATTTTCTTTCTGTTATCCAGACTGTGTAGTTTCTCCTGTTCTGTCTTCAAGTTCACACGTTCTTTCCTCTGCCCCTCCATTCTGTCATTGAGTTTCCCCAGTGAGTTTTAAATTTCAATTACTGTATTTTCTAATGATACGTTCTAAAATTGCAACATGATTCTTCTTTGTATCTTCTGTTTATTTGCTGAAACTTTCTATGTCTTTGCATGGATTTCCTATCTTTTCATTTGTTTCAAGAATGCTCATAATTGCCTGCTGAAGTATTTTTATGATGACAGCTTTAAAACTCTTTGTCAGATAATTCTAAAATCTCACTTGTCTCATTGTTGGCACCTATTGGTTGTCTTTTTTCATTCAGTTTGAGATCTTCTTGGCTCTTGGCATGATGAGTGATTTTTAACTGAAGCCTGGACACTTGGGCATTATGTTGTGAGAATCTGAATCTTATTTAAACCTCCTGCTTTAGCTGGCCTCCTGTGACACTGCTCTAGCAGCGAAGCAGGGGGACCTGCCTTGTTATGGCAGGTAGGGGTGGAAGTCTAGGTTCCCCACTGTGCCGTTCCTGGCAACTGAAGGCAGGAGGGGTACCTTATTATTACCAGGTGGGGGTGGGACTCCCATCTCCCCCATCGGTCTCCATGGATACCACTCTTTTTGGGAAAAGTAAAGTTCCTCATTCCTACTCTCCATGTAATTCCATTGACAGCAAGGAATGGGGGGTGGCCTCGCTAATGACGGATGACTCCACGAGGCCATCACCGACTCTACCTCCTCAGGTGCATTATTGCTGGGTGAAGGGGTCTCATTACCACCAATGGGGAGGAAAGTCCCTTCTCCCCACTCAGACTTTCTGAGACCACACTGGCAGGGGGATTGGGGTGCCAGGTGACAGTTTGGTGAGGGTGGAAGTCGAGACTCTCCGCTTGGCCTTTGTTGGTGAGGGTAGAGGTAGGGCAACAGATTTTTCTGTGGACTTTGGCTGTGGTAGCGTGGTTATCGTGTAAAAGTTTTCTTGCCAAGCTGTCCCTTTCCTGGTCTTTGTCTAGAGAGAGCAGGCTTTTGTTGGGGTTCTTTTTGTCTTCACCCCTTGGCACTTCCAGGTTGCCAGGTTCATCAGCTTCACATCTGGGATATACGAGGCCAAAAGAATCTCAGGGAACTCATCACCATTCCTCGGGTCCTGAGATCCCCAGCTAGTCTGCCTTCTTCTTGCCATCTTTCAGTCTTCCTCGGTTTGTTTCATATATAATGTCCGGGGTTTTTAGCTGTACTTAGGCGAGAGGAATAGAGAACAGTAACCCACTCCATCTTCCTGGAAGCGGAAGTCTTTAATTTGTTAGTTTATTTAATCCTGATGGCAAACCTGCAAGATGGGTGTTCTCTCCAGAGGGAGAAACTGGGACTCTGAGAAATGGGGAGACTTCATTGTAATTGTTAGAGAGAGAAAAGTACACCCACTCCTTGGACAATTGGCATTCTCAGGCTATGGCATTTTTCCTGGAATAATGGGTCCCACCAATACGATCTCTGACCCAGTGCAGGAGAAATAAGATTGAGTCCAGTGAAAGGCAGGGGAGACCTGAGCATTTGGACATAGCCCTATTATTCCAGCCAAGGTCACGATCCAATTCATTCCAGCCACCCGCCAGCCAAGACCACCTTGGAGGTAATTTGACCCGATTTTAGTAGAAAGGCATCGAGAAGCCAGTCTTCTCACTTTACCCTGATTTATCTAATGGTAATTACATTTCCATGGCAGAGGACACGTTAGTGTAAGGAACGTCAGTGACACGTGGGGCTGAGATTTATGTGGTTGGGCTGTGACATGAAGAGAAGTCTCACTCAGCCCAATAGGCCAGATGAGGTTTTTAAAGTAGAAGTTAGGGACTGATTACGTCATTTGAGGGATAAGGGAAATGAAAGTCAGGAATGTATCCACCCTACCAAGACTCTCCTCTTTGTTTTTTTTTTTTTTTTTTTAAGATTTTATTTTTTCCTTTTTCTCCCCAAAACCCCCCGGTACATAGTTGTGTATTCTTCATTGTGGGTTCTTCTAGTTGTGGTATGTGGGACACTGCCTCAGCGTGGTCTGATGAGCAGTGCCATGTCCGCGCCCAGGATTCGAACTAACGAAACACTGGGCCGCCTGCAGCGG